TTGTCAAAGATTTCATTTTACTTGGGTCCACAATGGAAGCAGCAGTCAAGAAATCAAATGATGCATTACACTGGGGAAATCTGCTGCAAAAGACCTCTTCAAAGTGTTAAAGAGCAAAGATGTCACTTTGAAGACTAAAGTGCCCCTGACCCAAACCAAGGTATTTTTCAATAGCCTCAGATGCACGAGAAAGCTAGACAATGAATAAGGAAGACTAAAGAAGAGTAGGTGAATCTTAATTATAACATTATTGAAAGATACTGACTATATCATGGAGTTCCAGAAGAAGGAACAAATCTGTCTTGAAAGAAGGATAGCTAGAATGCTTCTTAGAAGCGAGGATGGTGAGACTTCGTCTTATGTACTTTGGACATGTTATCAGGAGGGACCGGTTCCTGGAGAAGGAGATCATGCTTGGTAAAGTAGAGGGTCAGCAAAAAAGAGGAAGCCCCTCAATGATGGATTGAGACCGTGGCTGCAACAATGGGCTCAAAGATTGCAAAGATTCTGAGGATGGCACAGCACTGGGCAGCATTTCATTGTTGTACACAGGGTCACTATGAGTCAGAACTAACTGGACGATACCTAACAACAATGTGTCCTATTAACCCATCAGTTGCTATTCTCATGCTGTCTCTGGGCAGCCTCTCTCTCCACTCCTAATTACCAAAAAAAAAAAAAAACCCAAACTCACTGCCATCGAGTTGATTCTGACTCATAGCGACCCCCTTTGGGTTTCCAAGGCAGCAAATATTTACAGAAGTAGTTTGCCCAGTCTTCCTTCCACAGGTGGCTGCTGAGTTTGAACTGCCAACCTTCTGGTTGGCAGTCAACTGCCTTAGGCACTATGCCACAGAGTTCCTTCCACTCCTAATTAGTTTGTGAGCTTTATTGTGAGTCGGGAAAAAGAAATAACAAAGTTTATTATACTTCTACGTAAAGTAAGGCCCTCAATGAGATGGATCGACACAGTGGCTACAACGATGAGCTCAGGTATAGCAAGGATTGTGAAGCTGGCACAGGACTGGACAGTGTTTTGTTCTGTTGTGCAGAGGGTCACTATGAGTCAGAGCACCTAACAACAACATGTAAAGTAAAAATAAACAGGCCCTGAATGAGGGGCACAGGTTCACTGATAAAGCAGAGTTTCAGGGTTTGTGCATGGGCTATAGAATATCAAATCCGCATGTTTCAAAGCCTTTTTTGTTTCTGGGCTCTGGGTTGCTAAATTTCCTGGGTAGGTAACAGGTGCTTTGTAGCCACATTTGAGGAGTGGTTGTTATGAGCTCAAACCTGCTGGCTTATGCTTAGGTAAAATGAGCAGGGGTTGGGGCTTGGCTTCAGGCAGCTTTGAGAGGGTGGTTGGGGTGACAGGCCTTGTAGGCAGTAGAAGTGCCAGAGTGGGCCTTCCCAGTGAGGAGGGTAGGAGGAAGTGAGGACTGAGGAAGTAGCAGAATGATCCCAGGCTCAGAAGCCTTCCCTGTGGTGCTCTTGGTGTCCTGAGCCCAGGATTTTCCCTCTCCCCTCCATGATTAACACTCAAGGGGTTTCCAGTTTCATGTCCCACACCTCTCCATGCAGCTCACCATGAGGGGCAGTTAGGAGATCCTCTCCCACACCTGATCCTGCACAGTTCCCTGATGTTGCTAATGCTGGTCCTACTTCCTTTGCCCCATTTGTTTATCCAATATACCCTCATTCACCTTTAAATATGAGAGTGAGTGAAATTGCTTCTACACAGACTTTGAGCCATGTCTCTGCCCTACAGATGTCTAACCCTAATGGCCCTGGTCCCCGGCTGAGCCCTGGCCCTGCCTCAGGCTATCCCGAGCTTCTTCCCAGTGCAGGCTTTCCTTGAGGCTCAGCATGGCTGGTGCTGATGTTTTATGCCAGGGGGTCAAGGGGACCAGGTCCTGTCTTTTACTTTCTTTCCCCAAAGAAGGGAAGGAAGAGAACTTGGTTCCCACCCACAGCTCTGTGCTCCTCTAGAATGCTAAGAGTGTGCAGGGCCAACTAGGCTCTTTTACCTGGGGCTACTCCAGCCTCATCCTTGGCCTGTATGTGCAGCAGGTGAACACAGAGTGGATACTCATGTGACTGAGATGACCCAAATGTGGCCATTTCAGAAGGACCATGTGAGCGGGCAGGGCTGTGTGCTTACTATCTGGGCCCCAAGCTAGGTCATGTCAGTGTTGGTGTTTCCATGTCAACCCCAAGAGCACACAGTAACTCTTGGTTTGCAGAGGGTCTTCAGAAGCACATTTCATCCTCACTGGCACTGTGAAGCAGGCAGTGTACAGGTCACGCTGAGAGGACACTCAGGCCCAAAGACATTTAACAACCTTCCTTAGGTCATTCTGCAATTAACTTAGAAGTACAGCTGGGACTACAAACAGGCTGCCTGAGTCCCTGGGCAATGCTATTCTCTGGACAGGTATTCTGTGCTCTTTGCAGAGGTCTCCTTACTCTAACCATTCCATTCATCATGACATGAGGAAAGGAAGTCTAGACTAGGTAGCAGAGCAAAACAAACAAACACAACCAAAAAAGGAAAACAGAATTTTAAATTCATATGGCAATTGGATTTCCTGGATCCAGTGAGACTGGGGAAACCCTAAATCTGTTGCCCAGAAATAATCTTTAGACCTTAAACTGAAACTATCCTATGAAGCTATCATTAAACAACAGTTGAGTTCAATTAACAAAGAATGCTGGCCTTGAGAATTATGGTAATAGAATTATCTATTATGTGTTGAATTTGACAACAGTTAACCTAAAGCACACACATAAGGGGAAGAGGTAAACTAACAGTGATGTGGCGATATGGGTAGAACAGTGAGAAAGATGAAAATGCGAACTATGTAACCACTGATAATGAACTATATATACATATAGAAGTTGTGAATAGAAGCATATTTGGTTGTGTATGTTGCCAACAATTTTTTTGTAAGAAGTTGCCTTTCAGTCAATTCTGGCTCATGGTGACTCCATGGATGTTAGAGTAGAAATGGGCTCCATAGAGTTTTCGGTGGTTGATTTTTCAAAAGCAGGTCTCCAGGCCTTTCTTCTGAGGTACCTCAAGGTGGATGTGAACCACCAAGCTTTTGTCAATGGGGAAGCACTTCAATATTTGTGCCCCCATGGGACTCCTGGACCAGGCATTAAAAGAAGTGAATTCTGGCCCTGCTTTGTCACAGATGACTGCTCTGTTCCTTGTTGCTGTTGTTGTTGTTGTTGTTAGGTGCCATTGAGTCAGCTCTGACTCATAATGATCCTATGTACAACAGAGCAAAATACGGCCTGGTCCTGTGCCAGCCTCACAATCCTTGCTATACCTGAGCCCATCATTGCAGCCACTGTGTCAATCCATCTTGTGGAGGGCCTTCCCCTTTTTTACCGACCCTCCACTTTACCAAGCATGATATTCTTCTCCAAGGAATTATCCCTTCTGACAACATGACCAAGGTAGGTGAGATCAAGTCTGGCCATTCTTGCTTCCAAGGAGCATTCCAGCTACACTTCTTCTAGGACAGATTTGTTTGTTCTTTTGGCAGTCCATGGTACTTTCAGTATTCTTTGCCAGCACAACTCAAAGGCATCACCTCTTCTTTGGTCTTCCATATTCATTGTCCAGCTTTCACATGCATATGAGGCTATTGAAAATATCATGGCTTGGGTTGTTGTTGTTGTTGTTGTTGTTATGTGCCGTCAAGTCGGCCCCGACTCATAGCGACCCCTCCTTGGGTTTCCGAGGCAGTATCACTACGGAAGTAGGATTGCCCAACCTTCCTTCCGAGGAGTTAGGCACACCTTAATCATCAAAGAGCCATCTTTGCTTTTCAGCACTTCAAAGAGGTCTTTTACATAAGATTTGCCCAGGGCAATACATTGTCTGATTTCCATTGATGAATTTCCAATACGTGTTGCTTCCATTTGTGTTGATTGTGGATCCAAGTAATATGAAATCTTTGACAACTTCAATCTTTTCTCCATTTATTGTGATGTTGCTTATTGGTCCAGTTGTGAGGATTTTTGTTTTCTTTATATTGAGTTGTAATCCATACTGCAGACTATAGTTTTCAATCTTCATCGATAAGTGCTTCAAGTCATCTTCACTTTCAGCAGGCAAGGTTGTGTCATCTGCATGTTGCACGTTGTTAATGATTCTTCCTCCAACCCTAATGCTGTGTTCTTCTTCATATAGTCCAGCTTCTTGGATTATTTGCTTAGCATACAGATTGAATAAATATAGTGAAAGGCTATAACCCTGACGCACTCCCATCCTGATTTTAAACCATGCATTATCCCCTTGTTCTGTTTGAACGATAGCCTCCTGGTCTGTGTACAGATTCCTCATGAGCACAATTAAGTGTTCTGGAATTCCCATTCCTCTTAATGCTCTGTTCCTTGAATAAATCATATTCTCTTCCTGGGCCTCAGTTTCCTACACTGTAAATAAAAAGAAAATGACACTTTTGGAGGTACATGACGTGGTGGGCTCCAACAGCTTTGAAAGGGCAATAGTAAGTTCTCCTTGCCTGCCTTCTTGTTTATCTCCCACAAGACTGTAAGGAAAAGTCATGAACTGACTGTTATGAAGCCTAACTTCCAGTCATACCTTCACCTTGACTTTTCTGTGTGACCTTTCCTTCCCTGGGCTTCAGTTTCCCTTCCACACAAGCAGAAGCTCGAACACCTTGATTTCTGTGGTCCTTCCTGGTATAGATTTCTGCAACTCTGCTTTTTCCCTCCTGATCCTTCTGCTCCTTGGAGGGAGGGAGGAGGTGAGGGTGTTTGTGCATGCATATGTGTGTGTGTGTATACGTGTGTGTACATCTGCATATGTGGTGACATGGTAGCTGGGGGGAAGGTTAGTCTTGTAAAGGGCAAGGGTGGCACTTAGGGGAAGGGGAGTGGCCAAAACTTTATATGCCAGTGGGACTCAGAGCTTTCCTGGCGACTAACAGCGTTTGGCATTGTTTAATCATTAAAGGAAAGGAATGAATCCAGGAGCACCTCAAAGTCCAGCCTGGTGGTGACTGATATTAACAGATGAGCATGGGACTGACAGCAATGGAGCCTGACACTTCGCGGCCCAGAGACAGGGCTGAGACAGGGCCGCACTCAGCACTGGACTCTGGGGTCAGCCTGCATGCCTATGACATCACAGTCGTGGTCATCTACTTTGTCTTTGTCATCATTGTGGGCATTTGGGTGAGTACAGCTGGAATTGGGGTGTGGTAGGGGAGGCAGAGGCAGGCTGTCTTCCCTGGCTCAATTGTGGAACTGGGAGCTAGGTTCAGTGGAACAGGAAGGCAGATCACAAAACCACAGGGGGTCTGAGATGGAAGATCCTTCAGGAATCATCCCCTCCAAATCTCTTCTTTTATAGAAGGGCAGACTGAGGCCCAGAGAGAGGAAGTGACTTTCCTGACATCACACAACAAGCTGGAGGCAGGGCCAGGCCTGGAGACCCAGTCTCCTGACTTCCTGTCTCTATGCACTGTCTATCTTTGACTCTCCAACCATCCCTAGCCGGTCCTGAGTCCTCTTCCCCTTCCCAAGATTCCCAACCCTGCCAATACTTGACAACCTCCCTAGAACAAACCTTGACTTGTTAGTTTCTCAGATGAAGAGCCTTGCTTTCTAAAAGAATTGAGGCTAATATGTTCATAGGGAAGGAAGCCAGGCAAACTCCAAGGTCTTTCTTTTCTCCATTGTTCACAGGAGCCTTGAAGCAGTGGGAAGAGGGCAGGTAGCTCACAACTGCGTGGCCGTAGGAATATACTAAACCTCTCTGAGCCTCAGTGTTCTCTCACCTGAACAATGAAAATAGTAGGGGTGTTGTAGAACTGTTGTGACCATTCGTTGACATGATGCATGTATGTACCTGGCACGGTGCCCAGCACACAGTTGGCAGGCAATAAATTGCTGCTATCATCACCATAGCATTCAGCACCTTTAGCCTCCACTGTGAGGCAGATGGCAATTCAAGTCCCAGCTGGTCACTTATGAGGCTGTGGCAAAGTCAGGGACCCTCTCTGGGTCTCAATTTCCTCATCTGTAGAGTGGGGTGAGTAATACCTGCCTCCGGGGCTGGTGAGAGGAAGAAACAGGCAGAGATGATCATTGGTCCTTGAAGGTAGCCAACTGTGAAAAACACCAGCTCCTCTGTGACTTTGGACAAGCTGCCCCTCTTTGGACCTCAATTTCCATGGGATCATTTCTGCTTTTCAAGGAGCTCTGGTGGTGCAGTGGTTAAAGCATTTGGTTGGTAACCAGAAAAATTGGTGATTAGAACCCACCAGCTGCTCCACAGGAGAAGGACGAGGCAGTGCACTTATGTAAAGATTTACAGGCTTGGAAACCCTATGGGGCAATTCTACTCTTTCCTAAAAAGGGTAACTGTGCGTCAGAATGGGAGCTCTTGTAGTGTAGTGCCTAAGGCACTTGACTGCTAACCAAAAGGCTGGTGGTTCAAACCCACCAGCCACTCCAAAGAAGGAAGGTTGAGCAATCTACTTTCGTAGTGATACTGCCTCGGAAACCCAAGGAGGGGTTGCTATGAGTCAGGTCTGACTCAACGGCACACAACAACAACAACAACAACATGAGTCAGAATCAACTCGATGGAAGTAGGCTTGGCTTGTCTTGGTTTGGTTTGGTTTTTGTTTTTTTGGTCTCCCAGAGAATCAGAGGTGACACTAGAAGTTTGAATAAAAACTTAACAAGCACCAGGTCCTACACAGACTTCTCACTCTCTAGTAACTAAAGTCTTGGCCACTCTCCTAGTCAGTGTTTTATTCTGTTGTACATAGGGTTGCTATGAGTTGGAACCGACTTGAGGGCACCTAACAACAGTGACAAATTAATTCTTTTCCCTTAGGGATGAGAAGTGTTTTGAAAAAATTCTCCTTTTCCTTCCACTGTTTCAAGTATTTCTCCCATCCCCAGGTTCAATCAGAGACCTGCTGGCTTAAGCATCTTAATAACTGTTTTTATGTTTGTCCTTCCCTCCTTATTGCTCCTGTGCCCCAGAGAAACTCTTTCCCCATTTTCCTTTCATTCAATACTCTTGTAAACCAATTCTCCAAATAGGCCCATAACTGACCACCTGCTGCTGCAAGACAGGGGTGCACTCCAGTGTCCTGAATGGGGATAAGTGACATGTTCTGGTCTTAAGCTGGGGCAACAGAAGCCTTAAAATAGGGCCTTTCACTCTGCCAGGTCCCTAAAGTTTCACAGCCAGGAATGTAGCCCTCTGTGTCCCCCTGGAGGAGGAGAAAGGGGAGAGCAGAGGAGAGGAGAATCCCCTGTAAGCTATTCTACCCCTGAGATTGAGACATCAAATCATCTTCTGAAAGCAGATTTTGGAAGAAAAGAAGGCTAAGTGTACAAGAGCGAACAAGCAGAATAACCTTGCACAGCACTTTGTCATGCAGGAGGTCTTTCTATACCCTTAACCCCCTTTGCTCTTCACACCAGCCCTGGAAGATGAGAGCTGAAGTTCAGAGACAAGTACTGGTTCTCCCAAAGACACACAGCTTTAAAATGGTGAAACCTACACAGTTGGCCAGATCTGTTTGGCTCCAGATCTTGCCCCACTGTGGCCCCTTTGCTGCCTCTACTGAGGGATCAAGGATCTGTGTGGAGGACAGAGGTTGGGGAGAAGCTCGAGAAATTCTCATCTCTCCCTTTCCTTTCCAGTCATCATTTCGTGCAAGCCGAGGGACCATTGGAGGCTACTTCCTGGCAGGGAGGTCCATGAGCTGGTGGCCAGTGAGTTGACCTTCCTCCCTCCACTTCTCTTAGTGTGGAGGGTCCCATCTCTGTTCTCCTCAATCCTCACCATTCACAGTCTTTATCTCATCTCTTGGCTAGACTAAGACAAATCCAGCTCTCTACTGGATTTCCTGACTCTGGACTCCTTCTCTCCATCCCCAATCCACCCTGCAACCTGAGTGATCTTTTCAACACACACCTTGAGCAAGCATTCAGTGGGTATCTCCTGAGTATAGGCCCTATGCTGGGCACTGGGCCTACAGAGATGAATCTAGATTGTCCTTGTCCTAAGGAAGCTTACAGCTGAGTTGAGCACACTGATTCAGAAGCAACATGATCAATGAGCAAGAGGGAAGCACAAGGCCTTGTGAGTGCTTAGAGGAAGCCTTTGATTCTCAGACAGTGGGGCCTGGGGGAAGATGGGCTAGACTTTCTTGGCAGGGTGATATATAACAATTTTGAAGAAAAGTTAAATGAGAGAAATCATGGAGGTAAAATCCCCAAAAATCTTAAGGAATTGATTCCCAAGACATTTGTGAACCCCACTTTCTCCCATCTGTCATCTCAAATGTTTCTTTCAGTCTTCACAACTAACCTATGCTTCCTGAAACAGGCTGAGGTGAGGTAAGCCTCACCTGGGAAACTAGTTGAGGAATTGTCAGTAAGGTATTTGGCTGCTAACTAAAAGGTCAGTAGTTCAAACTCACCAGCTTCTCTGTGGGAGAAAGATGAGGTAGTCTGCATGTGTGAAGATTTATAGCCTTGGAAACCCTATGAAGCTGTTTTACTCTGACCAACAGGGTTGCTACAAGTCAAGATTGACTCGATGACCATGGATTCTTGTTTTTAATGGTAGTTAAAGCTATATGCAGACATGCAAACTCACATACATGACACATATGTACATACACAGGAGCCCTGGTAGCATAGTGCCTAAGGCATTTGACTGCTAACTAGAAGGCTGGCGGTTCAAACCTACCAGCCACTCCTTGGAAGAAAGGTTGGGCAATCTACTTCCATAGTGATATTGCCTTGGAAACCCAAGGAGGGGTCACTATGAGTTGGGTCTGACTCGATGGCACATAACAACAACAACAACATGTACACACACACACACACACATACACCAATAGCCATCTCCCACTTCTTCCCACTCTTTTCTCAGTTCTTACCAACTTTCCTGCCCACCACTGGTAATAGATGCGTTAAAGAATAGGAAAAAGCCAGGAGGCCTACAGAGCTTTCTGGAAGGTTTGGGTGTCGGGGCAAAAAGACTTAGGGGCAAGGACCTCTTATGCCATTCAGCAAGTTCTAACGCCAGGACTCCAGGCAGTTCATAGGGTTAGTATTGTCAGACACGCTCATCAAAAGAAGAAAAACAAAAACCTTTGGGAGCTGTTCTGCACAGCTGAACCCCAAATCACAACCCTAGAACTGAGTCATCAGGAGGGAAAAGAAGCAGGACAGAGCATATCTGTACATTGGGGGAATGAAAAGAGGCCTGAGACGAATGCACAGAGCAGAGCTATGTTTCACTGTGGGTAGAGGGAAAACCTAACCACGAGGCAGGTGCTCTGGCTGACTCTCCCAGAGTTCCTGGCTGTGCCCAAAAAACAAATAGCACAGAGGCAAGGAGATGTGCACCTGTGGGAAAGAGGGATGCTGGTGGACAGGGCTGTAAGCTGTGTCTTCTGAACCTGAGATCAGGGTTCAGTCTTGGGTCAGACCAGAATCAGTTCTGAGTAGAGAACTCTTGGTCCCATTTACACTGCTGTAATTTGTGTGTCTGTGTGTTTATCTGCATGATGGTCCAATACCTTTGCACCCTTCCCTACTTGGCCACCCATTCCTTTAAACTCCCCTTGTGAAATGTTTCCTTGAGTTATGAGCTGGGAGTTCTGGGTTGGGTAGGAGAGAAGGTGCCTGGAAGAACAGCCTAGGAGAGAACTTCCTCCTCTGAGGCAGGAGGCTGGGTCCTCGCTCCTCTGGCTAGCTGGTCCAGCCTGACCCTGCCAGCATCCCAAGGATCATCTGAGAGAGTAAGAAAGTGGAGCAGGAGCAGGGAGCATGGTGGTGATAGCTCAAAGGCCTCCTCAGCAATCTCTGGCCAGTTGGTATCTCTGTGCCTTCACACTGCTCCCTTACCTCATCCCTGAATTTCTCAGTACTTTCTGTCTTCTCACTTTCTATTTCCCAGCACCTCTAGAAGAGCAGGAAGTTGGGAGCAGATCGATATTTGATAGGTGAGGAACCTGACTCTTTGAGAAAGGAAGTGATTTTATGAGGATGACACAGGATACAATACTAGAGTATAGCTAGCTCTTCACCTGTGCCCCTAAAGGTGTCCTTGACACAATTCACTTCAATCCTGTCCCCAAGGTCTCCTGTAGGCCTCCTCCCAACCCCTAGAATCAATGCCCTGTGCTCCCATTCCCCTATCAATGGAGGATCCCATCTAACAATGAGAGATAGCACTGACTGAGCACTCATTATGTGCTAGCATTGTTCTCAGTTTTTATGTGTATTTATTTGAGAAGCTATCTTGTGCAGTTACAGGACCAAACTGAGCAGGTTACTTAACTTTTCTGTGTCTCAGTTCCCTCATCAGTAAAACGAGGATAATAATTGCATTCCTCTTACAGGGTTCTCGTGAGGACTACATCAGTCAATATATGTTAAGTATTTATAACACTGACCAGTACTTGGCAATGTTGTGTGAGTAGTAACTGCTGTGATTGCTTTCAAGCCTTTAGCATTGCCATTTCCTCCTATGCTTCAGAGTGGTTGGGCTTCACCTACCCAGAGGCTGCTCTCCTGGAGAGAAAACATTAACTCAGCGGCTGGTCTGGCCTGTGCTCAGCCCTTGGGTCCTCCCTCAGCTCTGGCCTTGTCTTGAAGTCTACAGGAACTAGGATAGCAGGAGGGCCTTCTCTCCATCCTTCTCATGGGGCTTCCCCCAGCCCTTTCAGCTTCTTTCTCCTTGGAGGTCTTTAGAGCCATGACCCCAGTTGAGGACTTTAAACTTATCTTTTCCCTACAAGGACCCTGCTGCACATAACTTCCCTTCTTTCCCTGGGGTGGGAGACTTCATTGTTCTGAACGTTAGTTCCTTCCTCTGCAAATCAGGACAATTAGTTTTGATCTCTCCAGGCATGTGAGAAGATTAAATGCATGGCTACGTATAAAGTGCCCAGCAGAGTGGCTGGCACACAGCAGGTACCCAGTAAATGCCAGTTTCTTCTCTCCTCCCCATTGTTCCTCTTTTCCACTCTCTGCTCTGACCTCAGATTTCCTGAGTCGAGACTCTGCTCTCTCTGCCTCCTTCCCAGCTCCTGAAGCCTATGGTCCTGATTCCAGCTTGATTTAGATTGCTCCTGACCACTGACCTTAGACTCCACTTGTACCTTGCAGATTGGAGCTTCTCTGATGTCCAGCAATGTGGGGAGTGGCTTATTCATCGGCCTGGCTGGGACAGGGGCTGCTGGAGGCCTTGCTGTGGGTGGCTTCGAGTGGAACGTAAGGAAGCTGGCCTGGAGGCTGATCAGGGATAAGTGGCCTTGAACCCACCCCATCTACCCTCATCCCTTTAGCACTAGGAGGAAACTCAGAGGTGCTTGGGGAAGCTGAATAGTGAATTAAGAATCCATATAACAGATAAGGAGGCAATGTATGGAGAAGAGAGAGGGACTCATCAGTGGTCACACAACTATTAGCAGGAGGACTGAGATTAGGTCCGGTTCTTTACCTCTCTGCTTAGGGCTATCCCACAGCCACAGCACTGTCTCTGAGAGGGAAGTACCTTCCATTTGCATTTGGGACCTGGATACCTTCCTCTCCCTACTCTCCCAGGCAACCTGGCTTCTCCTGGCCCTTGGCTGGATCTTCATCCCTGTGTACATAGCAGCCGGTGTGGTCACAATGCCACAGTACCTGAAGAAGAGATTCGGGGGCCAGAGGATCCAGGTGTACATGTCTGTTCTGTCTCTCATCCTCTACATCTTCACCAAGATATCGGTGGGTACTCATTTCAATGTGGCCATGTCATCTCTCAAAATGCTAATTAAGAAACAACTGAGGACACTATCATGGATTTGTCACTGAGAGGGAGCTGACAGTCATAGACAGGATGGAAGCAAGGATGAAAGGATGGATGAAGATGGATGGATGGATAGATGGATGGATGATTTCACTCCTTCACACACTTTTGTTGTTGTTATGTGCCATCGAGTCGGACCCAACTCATAGCGATCCCTACTTGGGTTTTTGAGGCGGCATCACTACAGAAATAGATTGCCCAACCTTCCTTCTGAAGAGCACCTGGTGGGTTTGAACCGCCAGCCTTCTGGTTAGCAGTCAAGTGCCTTAGGCACTATGCCACCAGAGCTCCTATGCATCCACATATATGCAAGATACATTCCACTTCAAAAGCAGAGGAATCAGAGATGAATGATAAAACCCTACTTCCCAAGAACTCACAATCTAGAGTTCATTCTTCATTAATTTATCTTTATCTTTCACTTGAGCCTTTCTTCAGCAATCATATATTACTTGCCTAAAATGTTCAAATCAGAAAGGTCTTTATTTTTCTTATTCTTTTTTGACCTAAATTTGGGAAACAAACTTACACAGGTCAGACAACTTACCCAAGTTTACACAGAGGGCTAGCTCCAGAAATAGAACTGAAGTTCAGGCCTCCTAACGCACCCAAATCTCTTTCCACTCTATCATGTTGTAGATCCTGTCATGAGTTCATAAACAACCATGGAATGACATACACTCAATGTAAGTGAGTTATTCAGTTACTAACTCTAGGGTTGTAAAACTTTGAGGTGGTAAAGTCTCTTATTCCACCAACGCTTGAGAACAACTCAAAGTCAGCTTAAGCCAAGGATGTGCCCCCAAGTCTTCTAATAAATTCAAACATTATCCAGAACTTGTGGTTATATGGACCAGGGCTCCTGCCTCATTATGTCCATTGTCAGTCCATCTGGCAGCTGAGTGGGGGGCATAGCTCTGTTGGGGAACAGTTAGGAATGCTGTGGGTCCTACTCTCACCTCCCAAATGTTTTCTCCAATCTCAACTCCCTCCTTCACTTACTCAGTCTTTCACTGCATTTCTTCACCACTCTTCGTAGTCCATAGTTTATCCTATGAGTACTTACATATATTAGTACTGATATATTATTCTCTATTTTGAATCTGTATACAGTATGCATCTGCTTTAAAGTCTCTATGGTTCCTGAATGGCAGCAACATCAAACCCATACTCCTTAGCATGGCACTTGAGGCTCACTTTTATTGTGTGGTGACGGCTGAGTGAGGGTACTGGGAGAGCTGAGCAAGCAGGTGGCATATCCATGGTTGCCACATCAATGTCCTAGAGTAACCTGGACTCCTGGGTCCTGGTTCTCTGCAGACTGACATCTTCTCTGGAGCACTCTTCATCCAGATGGCCTTGGGTTGGAATCTTTATCTTTCCACGGTGATCCTGCTGGTAGTGACAGCTGTCTACACCATTGCAGGTAGGGCCAAAGGAAGGTCACATTGAGATGCAGGCACCAAGGAACAGTGATAGAGAACCAGAGGGAGTTAGAGAGTGAAGCTTACTAAATGGCAGAGGCACAGAGAGAAAGCTTGAAAGATGAAGAAATACAGAGAATGGGGCAGAGAGACAGGGAAAACTGATCTTGAGAGGATGAAAAACAGAAGAAACAGAGAAAAAGACTTGGTGATGGAGGTGTAGAATAAGAGAGGAACAGAGGAAGACTGAAAGGCATGATGTCACAGAGACAAAGGGAGACTGTTAGGGCAGAAATAGGAAGAAAGAGGGGCAGACAAAGAGAGTCAGGAAAAGAGAGGCACTGAGAGCACTGAAAAAGACCAACTGCAACAGGGAATGGGGTGGAGGTGAGGGTACTAGTCACTGGACTAGAGTAACTGTAAGGTGCTCTGGGGAAAGCCACAGGCTTCTCCTGTCTCCTCTAGCACTCTTCACACAGGGCTGGGTGCCCTGAGAGACAGGCTCAGGACAGACTTATTGATGGTTAAAGTCGGTCCTAAAAGATTGGGGTATTTGGATGGGTGTCAGGAGGAGAAAGGGGTGATCATTCCTAGTAGAGCTAATGGCACAGGTGAAGGAATGAACTTGGGATAAAAACAACAAAAAGAGCTATGCCCCGACAGCCACAGGGCCTGCCAGGATGAAACCTTTAACTGTGACCAGCCCTTCATCCTACTATGGCGGGGCTGAGAGGGGGCAATAGGTGCTGGGGGTGACAGGGGGCCAGAGTCCACCTCATAAGAGGGCTGTGTCACTCTTCTGGTCTCTCCAGTGTGGTCAAGCACAGGGTGGGTACCCAAACAGGAACCCTCTATTAGCATTGACTGATCATGAACCTTGTCTTGGGTCCTCAGGGGGCCTCACAGCTGTGATCTACACAGATGCTCTGCAGACAGTGATCATGGTGGGAGGAGCCCTGGTCCTCATGTTTCTAGGTAAGGAAGAAACCTAATACATCTCCATCTCTCTAACCTGTCTTTAGCTGTCTCCCCCGGGGCTTGACTAGAACTTCCTGGAGCACAGAGTCATGTCCTCCTCCAGGCTGGGGCTCCCTAAGACCAAGACTCTCTGTACATCAAACCAGGGATCTCAAAGTCCAAGCCCTATCTCCTTCCCTTTCCTCATGTCCTACACCAGTTCCAAGCCCAGGGGTCTTTCAAGGGACTAGGGGCTGGGTAGACTGAGTAATAGGCTCAGTTGAGTCTTGGGCTGTTTCATTCATTGTGGTCTTTCCTCACAGGCTTTCAAAAGGTGGGCTGGTACCCAGGCCTGGAGCAGCGCTACATGCAGGCTATCCCTAACGTCACAGTCCCCAACACCACTTGTCACCTCCCACGATCTGATGCCTTCCACATGCTCCGGGACCCTGTGAGCGGGGACATCCCATGGCCAGGCCTCATTTTTGGGCTCACGGTGCTGGCCACCTGGTGCTGGTGCACAGACCAGGTAATGCCCCCAGGCTTGACCTAGCCCACACAAAATGTGTGGGTTCCTATAAGAAAACAAGGCATCCGGACACACAGAGGGTAGGGACTCATTCTGGGACTCATGTAGGGTCAGTTTGTGACCTGTGTCAGGGCTCAACTCTGGCTGAGTTGAGCCCTCCCTGGCCTGAATGGCAGGCCTCTACTCCTTCCATTTTAGGTCATTGTGCAGAGGTCTCTCTCTGCCAAGAGTCTGTCCCATGCCAAGGGTGGCTCTGTGCTGGGGGGCTACTTGAAGATCCTTCCCATGTTCTTCATCGTCATGCCTGGCATGATCAGCCGGGCCCTGTACCCAGGTAAGGGCTGGTCTCCCACTTTGGGCACTAGGATGTAGGCTTTGAAGGGGATTCCAGAGCAAAGGCTCCTTGGGAATGCTGGACTAGCCTGGGGGGTTGACAAACTTTTTCTCTTAAGTTTTGCAAAACAAACATTTAAGTATTTCAAAAGAAGAAATTTGTGTCTGAAGGCTCTTTTAAAATCCTGCTTATTTTACAATTAAGGCATTCTTGGCAACTTCCAAGGATAGTTGCCTTTTATAAAGGCCTAAGTCCTAAAACCGAAAGGAACATGTCAGACTTTTCAGGATAGAAGAACAGGCAAGAAACTTACCAGACACAAGTCATAGTATTCACATTGGCCCCCTGACTCACTAGACACTTGCCCCACCAGAGTCACCAACGAACACTTTCTCATAGTGTCAGAAAGCAAATGTTGGGCCAGCCAGGAAAGGTATATGCCAGGCCCAAGATCATATAGTTCTAACTACCTCACTTCATCTGCAGATGAGGTAGGCTGTGTGGACCCTAACATCTGCCAAAGGATCTGTGGGGCCCGAGTGGGATGCTCCAACATCGCTTACCCCAAACTGGTCATGGCTCTCATGCCCATTGGTGAGTCCCCATTTTCCACCCCAGTCTCCACTCCCACCTCTCAGCTTCCTCCAATCCCCACTGCCTAGAACACTAAGAATGGGTGGAAACAGGGAAGGGAAATATTCACCTCCACATTGTGGAAACACACAGACACGTACACCACCACCACCACTGTTCACAAGCATCTGTAAGGTGCTTTCTCTGCATTCAGGTTCTGGAGATGCAGACTCACAAATGGTACAATACCATGTGACCAATGTGGTAACATACTAAGGGCTAAGGCAGCCCTAAGGAGGCACCTGATCAGGGGAAAGTCAGGGAAGATTCCCTGGAGGAGAAAACACATGAGCTGAGCCCCAGGAATATCTTAGGCAGACAAAGCCAGAGGGAAGTACAAAATGTCAATCCAGGGAGGAGAAGCTGCATGTGCAAAGGCCCAGGTTGAGAGAGGATCTGAGGTCTGAAATGAAAGGTCTGAAATGAAAGTGCTCCATGTAGACTTCAGAAGCAAGAGGGACTGAAGAAAACTTCCCTTTAGAAGATTTAGAAGCCTCCTTCAGAGGTACTGCCTTTACTCTGAGGGCAATGGAGAATCACGGGTCGGGGGTGGGGGATGTTAGGCCACATGATCAAATTTGTACTTTAGAAGGTTCACTTACATGGAGTATTCCACGTGGAAGAAGCTCTAGGGGAGGCAGACAGATGATTGAGGAGATCCTGGTGAGTGGTGATAGTGGCTTGGACCAAGTTAGTGGCAGTAGTGATAAAAAACAAACCAAACTCACTCCCATCAAGTCAATTCTGACCCATAGCAACCCTGTAGCGCAGAGTTGAACTGCCCCATAAGGTTTCTGAGGCTATAAATCTTTACAGAAGCAGACTGCCTCATCTTTCTCCTGCAGAGTGGCTGGTGAGTTCAAACCACCAATTTCTGGTTAGCAGCCAAATGCTTTACTAACTATGCCATCAGATCTCCTTGCAGTAGTGATGTTGTTGTTGTTGTTGTTGTTGTTGTTAGGTGCCCTTGAGTCATCCCCAACTCATAGTGACCCTACATACAACAGAGCAAAACACTGCCAGTCCTGTGCCAGCCTCACAATTCTTGCTATACTTGAGCCCACTGCTGCAGCCACTACGTCAATCCATCTCATTGAGGGCCTTCACCTTTTTCATCAACTCTCCACTTTACCAAGCATGATACTCTTCTCCAGGGAATAATCCCTTCTGACAACATGACCAAGGTAGGTGAGATGAAATGTGGTCATTCTTGCTTCCAACGAGCATTCCAGCTACACTTCTTCCAGGACAGATTTGTTCATTCTTTTGGCAGTCCATGGTACTTTCAGTACTATTTGCCAACACCACCATTCAAAGGCATGAACTCTTCTTTGGTCTTACTTGTTCATTGTTCAGCTCTCACATGCATATGAGGCAACTGAAAATATCGTGGCTTGTGTCAGGCACACCTTACTCTTCAAGAAGACATCTTTGCTCTTCAGCACTTGAAAGAGGTCTTTTGCAGCAGATTTGCCCAGTGCAATATGTCATCTGATGTCTTGACTGCTGTTTCCATTGGTGTTGATTGTGGAACCAAGTAATATGAAATCTTTAACAGCTTCAATCTTTTCTCCATTTATTGTGATGTTGCTTATTGGTCCAGTTGTAAGGATTTTCATTTTCTTTATGTTGACATGTAATCCATATTGCAGACTGTAGTCTCTAAGCTTCATCAGTAAGTGCTTCAAGTCATCCTCGCTTTCAGCAAGCAAAGTTGTGTTATGTGCATATTGCAGGTTGTTAATGAGTCTTCCTCCAGTCCTGATGCCACGTTCTTCTTCACATAGTCCATCTTCTCAGATTATTTGTTCAGCATACAATTTGAATAAGTACAGTGAAAGGATACAACCCTGACACACTCCCTTCCTTGTTTTAAACCATGTAGTGTCCCCTTGTTCTGTTTGAACAACAGCCTATGTACAGGTTCCTGATGAGCACAATTAAGTGTTCTGGAATTCCTGTTCTTCTTGGTGTTATCCATAATTTATTATGATCCACACAGTCAAATGCTTTTTCATAGTCAATAAAATATAACTAAACATCTTTCTGGCATTCTTTGCTTTCAGCCAAGATCCATCTGACATCAGCAATGATATCCTTTGTTTCACATCCTCTTCTGAATCCAGCTTGCATTTCTGGAAGTTCTCTGTCAATATACTGGTGCTACCATTTTTTGAATTATCTTCAGCAAGATTTTACTTGCATGGGATGTTGTTCGATAATTTCCACATTCTGTGGGATCACCTTTCTTTGGAATGGGTACAAATATGGATCTCTTCCAGTCAGTTGGCCAGGTAGCTGTCTTACAAATTTCTTGGCAGAGTTGAGTGGATGCCTCTAGTGTGGCATCTGTTTGTTGAAACATCTCAGTGGGTATTCTGTCAATTCCTGGAGCCTTGTTTTTCACCAATTCCTTCACTGCAGCTTCAATTTCTTCCTTCAGTACCATTGGTTCTTGATAATATGCCACCTCCTGAAATGGATGAGCATCCACCAATTCTTTTTGGTACAGTGTCTCTGTGTATTCCTCCCATCTTCTCTTGGTGCTTCCTGCATCATTCAATATTGCAACTCGAGGCTTGAATTTTTTCTTCAGTTCTTTCAGCTTGAGAAATGCTGAACTTGTGGTTTTCTAAATTCAGGTCTTTTCACGTTTCATTATAATAATTGATTTTGTCTTCTCGAGCTGCTCTTTGAAATCTTCTTTTCATTATTTATTTATTTGTTTATTGTGATTTGGGTAAAAGTTTACAGAGCAAATTCACTTTCCATACAGCAGCTTACATACACTTTTGTCTCATGACACTGACTACAAATTACCACAATGCAACAGCTCCCCTCCCACTTCCTCCCCACAGTTACCTCTTCCCTGTGTTCTTCCCTCCATACAGTTCTGCCCCTGAGATGTCTCCCTGTGTATACACAGCCCTTCGATTCTCCCATGATTGTTCTCTCCAAGGAGTGTATCTACCTAATGTAAATGTTCACCTTATACACATGTCTTTTGTTTGGCTGGAAGCACAGGAGTGGGTTCACTTCCAGACCCAAAGGTCACAGTCTCAGTGGTTCCATCAGGCTCTATCAGACCAGCAAACCTGGTCCCTGAAATCTTCTTTTCAGCTCTTTTATCTTGTCATTTCTTCCATTTGCTTTAACTTCTCTCTGTTCAAAGGCAAGTTTCAGAGTCTTCTGACATCCATTTTGGTCTTTTCTTCCTTCCCTGTCTTTTTAATGACATTTTGTTTTCTTCATGGATGATGTTTTTGATGTCATCCCCACAGTTCATCTGGTTTTCAGTCACTGGTGTTCAATGTGTCAAATCTATTCTTTAGATGGTCTCTAAATTCAGGTGGGATGTAATCAGGGTTATATTTTAGTTCTCATGGACTTGTTTTAATTGTCCTCACCTTCAGCTTGAACTTGTATAAAGGCAGTTGATTATGTGTTCCACAATCAGCTCCTAGCCTTGTTTAGGCTGAAAATATTGAGCTTCTCCATCACCTCTTGCCACAGATGTAGTCAGTATGATTCCTGTGTACTTCATCTGGTGAAGTCCATGTGTATAGCTGCCATTTATGTTGTTGAAAAAGATATTTGCAATGAATAAGTTGTTGGTCTTGCAAAATTCTATCATGTGATTTCCAGTGTTATTTCTATCACCAAGGCTATATTATTCAACTACTGGTGATTCTTCTTTGTTTCCAACTTTTGCATTCCAATCATCAGTAAAAATCAACACATCTTGATCACGTTTGGTCAATTTCAGACTGCAGAAGTTGATTAAAAAAAAAACTGGTCTTCCTCATAGGCATATGGGTATTATCCTGTCACTGGCAGCACTGTACTTCAGGATAGATCTTGAAACACACTTTGTGATGATGAATGCCACACCATTCCTCTTCAATATGTCATTCCCAGCATAATAGATCATATGGTTGTCTGATTCAAAATGGCCAAAGCCAATCCATTTCAAGTCACTAATGCCTAGGATATCAATCTTTACACATTCCATTTCATTTTTGACAGCTTCCAATTTTCCTAGATTCATACTTTATACATTCCATGTTCCAATTATTAATGGATGTTTGTAGCTGTTTCTTCTCATTTTGAGATGTGCCACATCACCAAATGGAGTTCCCAAAAGCTTTACTCCATCCACATCATTAAGGTTGACTCTACTCTGAGGAGGCAGCTCTTCTCCAGTCATATTTTGAGTGCCTTCCAACCTGAGGAGCTCATCTTCCAGTGCTATATCAGACAATGTTTCAGGACTATTCATAAAGTTTTCCAGTAACATATCAGACAATATCTCACTGTTATTCATAAGGTTTACATTGGCCAATTCTTTGAGAAGTGGATGGCCTTTTCCTTCTTCTGAGTCTGTCTCAGTCTGGAAGCTCCTCTGAAACTTGTCCACCATGGATGACCCTGCTGGTATTTGAAATACCTGTGGCAAAGCCTCCAGCCTCACAGCAACATGCAAGCCACCACAGTAGGGCAAACTGACAGACAAGTGGTAGTGCAGTAGTGATAGGGGAAGGAATTTAAAAGGTATTTGTAAGGCAGATTTGGTGTGCTTAATAAGTGGTTACTTTTGAGGGATAAGAAAGACAGAAGAATGGAAGAGGGTTCCCAGATCTCAGGCATTAGAAAGTGAGTTTACAATAATTTTGATTGGGGACAAAGGAAGAAAGGCAGGTTTATGGAAGGAAGTCCATGAGTTATCCTCCCCTCCAGTAGTGTGAGAAAGAAATCAAAGACCTAGTGATGATGCTAGCAGGCCTGTTATGCAGAGCAACCACAGAAGTACTGACTGATGGTAGTGGGGAGGAGGAGAGCAGAGGAAGGGTCTAAGAGAACATTGAGCTATCTGGTGTAGGGGACTAGAAAGATAGTATTGACCAAAGAGTGAAGCTGAATGTACCATATGAAAATTATGGCCTCAGCTTGGGACATCTTGAGTCCAAGGGTCCTGTGAATTTTCCAGGGAGACATGCACAAGATGTTTACATATATGGATCTAGAGGGGAAGGGGAATGAGTTGGCATAGGACTGGGACTCGTCTTCCCAAGAGTGAGTGAATGGTCATATTTCTAGAAACCTTGTCATTAGAGTTATAGAGACTTCAGAGATCAGTGGGAACCACCCTCTCTTATTACAAGTAGAAAAACAGGCCCAGAAAGAAACCAGCCCAAGACCATTCAGCTAGTTATTACAGAACCAGGAAACAAGCCCAGGGCTCCTGCCTCCCAATGCAGGCTTTATCCTGCACCACATTGTCAATGGAAAATGTACAAAACACTCAAACTATTACCAATTACCCCTGCCCAGGAACACACTAACCTACAGTCTACAACTTGAGACCAGACTGAGATGTCCAAGCTGCAGAGAAACTTAAAGAACCCCCACTCTCAAGCACTTTAATGGCTTAGAGGAAGATAACAAGGCTCAGGGAAGGTTCATGACTCATGCAAGGCCCTAAAACAAGACAGAAGCAGAGCGTGGCCAGACTCAGCCCTCTTGCCTCTAATTCTGTGCATCTCCTGGATTCATTATCTGTCCTGGATGGGACCCTCATCCAATGCCTGGATGGGACCCTCATCCAATGCCAAACCCCTGGTTCTGCTTGACACTGCACCCACCATGGACTGTGGCAGAACAACCTCAATGGCTGGCAATCCACACACACCTTGTTTCTCCCCAGGTCTGCGGGGCCTGATGATAGCCGTAATCATGGCCGCCCTCATGAGCTCACTCACCTCCATCTTCAACAGCAGCAGCACCCTGTTTGCCATTGACATCTGGCAACGCTTCCGCAGGAAGGCCACAGAGCAGGAGCTGATGGTGGTGGGCAGGTACGCTGGCCCATCCTTCCTGAACTCTCTCCACTCCCCTACTCTTTCCTCCCTTCTCCTCTTTCCTTTCTGCCATCTCCTGCCTGTCCTGGGTTTCCCTGGAGGGAACGTGATCTGTCTGGGCCCCAGACTGGCAATCAGGACACTACCTTTCCATGTGACATCAGGCGAGTCTCTCCCTAACTCTGGACCACACTTACCCCTCCAGAAATATGGGGAGAAAAGCCTCTTCTTTGTCTGTTTAACTTCCTCTTGGAATTGGTCTTCAGGGTGAATGAGGGAGAATGATAAAGCACTTAAGAAATGAAAAGTGTGCTGTACAAGTGGGAGGAAAGTTAGCAAGCAGCTCACTTCCAAGGTCTTTCAGACCCACTCTGAAAGCTGTCATCCCAGGATAACAGAAGCACTATTAATGTAATCTGTCAGACTCACCCTGAACATACTCCATGCATCATAGTCTTGTGCCAGGGACAAGAATAAGTCATGTGGCCCTGCTCTCAGAGTGTTCACTGTCTAATGAGAAAGACAGAAACACAGATAAGACAGTGAGGTATGTGCATTGATGGTGAATCAGAGGAAGGTTGTCTCCAAGTGATGCAAAGCCTTGAACCACAAGCTAAAGAAGTTTAACTTTATCTTACGGGTATCAGTGTTATCCTTTTGATTAATTCTTCTTTTTCTCCATAGGCTGGGGGTTGTAGCTAACACAGGGTTAAGGGGCCCTTCAGGAATCTTTGCTCCATGGTTTAAAGCTCTATAACTCAGATTTCTGGACTAAAATGCTATTTTCTCTCCTCTCCCTTGCTAGGTGGGTAATTCAGTTTATCTATTTTGTTCTGTTACATCTACCTGTTTTTGCACATACTATTCCTTCCACCGGGATGCTTTCCACCCTTATCTGTCCAATGAATTCCTTTTGCTGGCTCATTTTTGAGTCCCCAGCCCCATGCACAGAGACTGACTGTAGCAGGACTTAAGTATGGGAAAAGTTGTGCAAAGAGGAGGGAGATGAGATGACTTGGGTAGCTGCTTCTCTTAATGGAGTGTGGCAGAAGGCGGAGGGAGGAAGAGGAGAGGAGATGAGAGTTGTCAAGCAATGTCCCTTTATCTCTGTGCATGGCAACTGCTGAGTTTCGCAGCCACGTCTTTCACCCATAACTGGGGTTTGGGCGCCATCTACTGTCTATATGTATTATTATATGCAATACAGTCGAGAGTATTTCATTTTGTTCGTGCACCTGCCAAATCACACACACACACACACACACACACACAGAGGGCTTTGGGAACTTACTTAGGCACAAAACAGCATTCTGTTGATGAGGAGTAAGGAGTTAGAGAAGATTGATTTTCTTTCCTCAGACTAATGCCAAAATAAGGGATTCAGAGCTGGAGAAGCCCAGAGCAGGGAGGCTTGAGCCATCCTGGAGAAGGCGGCTGTCCCGGACAGTGTCTGGACACAAACAAGGGAGAAAGGCATTTCAAAGAAAAGACAAAAAAGGCTGTTTTCTAAGGGGGAAGTGGAAAGTATGGATTCCTCCATTGGACAGCAGGTAGATTTCATGATGTTGAAGTCTTCCAAGTAAAAAACGCTGAAATGTTAGAATTCTGGGTTTCTTGGACTCCGATATCCTGGGAATTTGACCTTCAAACTTTCTGGAGTCTTAACCCTTGGGATTCTGACCTTCTAACAGGCTCTGATTCGGTGACTGTGTGTTTTCCCTCCCCGTCCCTTCCTGGTGTCCTGTGCACCACCTTCATCCACCCCATGCCATGCCAACCTAGGTGTTCCTCACAGAACCTGGTGTCTCCCCGACAGGGTGTTTGTGGTATTCCTGGTCATCATCAGCATCCTTTGGATCCCCATCATCCAAAGCTCCAACAGTGGGCAGCTCTTCGACTACATCCAGTCTGTCACCAGCTACCTGGCACCACCCATCACTGCCCTCTTCCTTCTGGCCATCTTCTGCAAGAGGGTCACAGAACCTGTGAGTACAGCATCACACCCCTCTCTCCCAGCGCACCAGAGAGTTGGGGGGCCCGATGTGTCCACAACTTGGTCTGTGTGACCTCGGGCAAACCAACTGCCTCCTCTGCGTTCCCATAGCCCCAAATGCAGTATCAGGCCTAGGTGATTCGGTCATTCAACAAACATTGGTCAATCTTGTTTTGGAGGCTCTGGGGATGCAATGGTTTATAAGGTTGACATAGGCCAGGTATCAGTGGCCGGCGGGGAAGAGACAAAGTAAATAGGCAATAATAATAAAGTATAATGGCTGATGTGAGAATACTTAGCAGGATCACAGCAACACACAAGCCACCACAGTATAACAAGCAAACTTGTCAAGGATTTCATCTTATTTGGATCCAAATCAGTGCCCATGTGCTTGAACAATTTCTCTCAGAAAGATCAGCACAAGGCCAGTCCCCATGAGGTGGAGGTTAAAGATGTCCCAAATGTCCAAACTACCGTGCCACTCCATCATTTCACACATTAACCCCTCCTCCTCCTCCCACTAATTTCCCCCATCTTAGGGTTCTGTATTTCACTGTAACGCCTCACAGAACTCACAGACACCCAAGGGTTCGTCTCACGTAGTAGTGGTGGAGGCTAGCAGGCTGGTGAGTCCCAGGTCCATGAGTAGGTCTGGAGGATCCTCCCAGTTCTCGGGGTTTGATGAACCTTGATCAGCAGATCAGATGACGGCTGCTGTCCCAAATCCAGGAGTGAGATGAGGATGAGCCAAGATACAAAGCCGGAGCAAGAGGAGAGCGAATCTTCCCAGGAGATTCGTAGGTATACTCTCAGGGAAGCTAAGGGTGGTGATTTGAATTATACCCCCCAGCAAGACAGCACTCAAGATACATTCCACCTGTGTTGCCCCAACAGAAAGAACCTAAGTGGGTGGCTTTAACAATCAGCAGCTCAAGGTAAATCCCATCACAGAGCCGATTGCCAGTCATTATAGGGCATGAATACTACCAGCTGCCCAGCCAAGTTGATACCTGACCTTAACTACCACACCACCCCAAACAGGCATGGATAACAGGATTTACAATACATCACAGAATGGAGGACAATGGCTAGAAGGGCCACATCAAGCAACTCACCACACCATGGAAGCAGCAGTCATGAAATCAGACAAATTTGAGAAAATCTGCTACAAAAGACCTTTTAAAAAGCAAAGATGTCACTTTGAAGACTAAGGTGCACCTGACCCAAGCCATGATATTGTCAATCACTTCATAATTATGTGAAAACTGGACAATAAGAAAGGCAGACAGAAGGACTGATGCATTTAAATTATGGGGTGGGCTCTGTGGAAGAAGGACCTGGAAATCTGCTTCTGTAAAGATTGCAGCTTGAGAAACCCAATGGGGCAGTTCTGCCCTGCCACAGTGGGGCACTGTGAGTTAGAGATCAACTCAACAGCACCTGTCAACAACAACAATCTTGCTGATAACTATGCTGCACAGCAGGACCCAGTTGGATTCTGGATGTTTCTGTTCACTTCAGAGTTTTTGAAATTGGAATTTGAATTTTGCAAATATAAGTCATCTGAGTCTTACATACTGGGGACAGGGATAGATTAGGGCTGAAGATACTATAAGAAAGATGAGGGAGGCACCAGGGCTTTGACAGATGATAGATAGGTAGATAGACAGACAGAGAAATGAAAACAGGCAGGAAATGGCAAGAAAAAATACCCAGAGGCAACAGAAGGGAGATCTCTATTCTATTTTCTGATTAATCAAAAACAAAAGTTAGGAAGGAGGATTCTGAGGTTCTCTGCTTACTATAAAATCTTATTACATTCTAGTTGAATATTAAACATCTATTCCTGAGTGCTCATTAATTTTTCTTATAATTGCCATCTAGGAGAATGCTCCAAGTCCATGAGGTTGAGTAACTGATTCAAATTTATTACAAAATAGAGAGAGGATTCAAATCCTAGTCTATCTGCCTTGGAAGTCCCTTGCCCTTTGAAGTATACCACACTGCCTGCCTTTCATTCAACACAAAGCCTCCATTTTTATAAGGAATTCACTAGAACAGACTTGACAAACACTGCACCAAGCCAATGGGAGGGATATTTGGGGGCAGAGTGGCTTTTGCTTCCTAGGTTCTACCCCTGGCTCTCACCCTGCCCTCTTTCCATAGGGAGCCTTCTGGGGCCTCATGTTTGGCCTGGGAGTGGGGCTTCTGCGCATGATCCTGGAGTTCTGCTACCCAGCCCCAGCCTGTGGGGAGGTGGACCGGAGGCCGGCAGTGCTCAAGGACTTTCACTACCTCTACTTTGCACTCCTCCTCTGTGGGCTCACTGCCATTGTCATCATCACCATCAGCCTCTGTACAACCCCCATCACTGAGGAAAAGGCAAGTGGTGTCCTCACAATGAGGAAAAAGGAAAAAAAAAAAAAAAAAAAAAACACCTTCCTACCTGTGGTGCAAGAGCTCTGGTAGCATAGTGCCTAAGGCACTTGACTGTTAACCAGAAGGCTGATGGTTCAAACCCACCAGCCACTCCTCGGAAGGAAGGTCGGGCAATCTATTTCCATAATGATACTGCCTCTGCAACCCAAGGAGGGGTCGCTATGAGTCGGGTCTGACTCCATGGCACATAACAACACAACAACAACCTATAGTGCATGCGATTCCACCACTGAGTTTTACGTCATTGGGTTATGGCCTCTCCTATTGCCATAGAGAAGGAGCTGGTGGACTAGTGCCTAAGGCATTAGACTGCTAACCAGAAGGCTGGCTATGCAAACCCACCAGCCACTCCTTGGAAGGAAGGTTGGGCAATCTACTTCCACAGTGATACTGCCTCAGAAACCCAAGGAGGGGTTGCTATGAGTTGGATCTGACTCAATGACAATGTGTTTATTTTTTGGTTTTTATTGCCACACAAATGTCCTGGAGGTGTGGGGGAGGTCACTGGGCTATTAATTCCCAAGTGAGATGAAATCTATGTCATTCACAATTACTCAGTGAGAACCTACTGCGGAGCACGCACTGTGCTGAGACCGCAGTAATGAATGGTCCCGGGCATTGACTGCCCACAGGGGGAAGTGGACACAAACACAAATGATTACTATACAAAGAGGGATGTGCAGAAGAATCAAGCACAGACATAGAGGATGTCCTCACCTTGACGTGGGGACAAAGAAGGGTTTATCAGCAAGGTCACCTTGTATTGGACCTTGAGAAATGAACAAGGATTTGTTGAAAGGTCTAAAAGCAAGTATATGAAGTAAGAAGGAGAAGTCCAGCACATAAAGAGCTCAATCCCAAATCCTCACTTCTCCCTCCTGACCCTCCTGACTCACCAATCCTTGAACACTGAGGCCCCATCTTTTGAAACCATTTTTTCTTAGTGCCCACAACAAAAGTTAGTCCCTGAAACATTGGGTGGAAAACCCACTGATGCCTGGATGTTGTCCCCACCATCCCACTGAAATTGTTCTCATTGAGGTCACCAACAACTTCTTGTTACTAAAATCAGTGATAACCTCTATCTTTACTTTTAATGAATTTTGAGAACTAGATATTATTGATAACTTCCAATTTCCTGAAGATGTCTCCTCTCTTCACTTCCATGGTCTATTTTTCTCTTTTTATTTTTTATCCTATTAACTTTTCTACCTTCTTCAAGGGCTTTTCTTCCTGCCCCTTATATATTATTGTTCCTTAGAAACCCATCTATGGTCTATAACTCTTTTCACCTGACACTGTCCCTGAGCTATCTTATCCACTCTCATAAATTCAACTCCCCTCTATAAAAGGGGTCTCTAGCCAAGACCCCCTCTCTCAATAAGCAAACTTCAAATCTACATGCCTCCTGATGATGTAAAGAGACATAGTCCATATGCTACTAGCAACACACAGTGAAATATAAATTAGGGTTTATTAAGAAATATTTATAAGCAAAGAAGCAGCCTGCGCTCTCATGATCCCATAGAGAGGCATGCTTGAGTCAGGCACAACTGGATGCATGGTGGAAAGTGCCCAGGAGAGGAGGTCCTGTGCCTATTTGTAGGAAATTGGGAGATATCTGCTTCAAGGTATCTGCTTGGCCAGGAAAATGACCTTGTTGGAAAAAGAGACAGTGGTTGAATCCAATACCACTGACGTCAGCCAGAGAACTTGCTGTTTCCTTCTCTGCTGAGCTACCAAAAAGGGAAAAGAGAGAAAACCACCAGGACTATCAAGGAGACACAAAGTTTGGTTCTCTTTACCTGGGCATCTCCACTTGGAAGGCCTGCAGACTGTCCAGCTTTCCATCATGTTTGTGGGTGTGCACACATGCATGTACATGCACACTCAATGCACATTCCCACTCCCTCTCTAGCTCACTCACATCAGCACCCAAACCTACTGCTTCCCCTGTGTCTTCCACCCCTATGAATAGCACCACCACCCCATCCTATTGTCCAAGGCAGAAACAGGAGAGTGGCGTTAGCCTCTTCTCTCTCCCTTACCTAGCGTGTTCAATCAGCCACCATGTCCTGTAAGTTTTACCTATTCAGAGTTAGAATTGACTCAATGCCAATGTGTTTGGTTTTTTTTTTTTTTTTGTAACATTTCTTAATAGGAGCCTTGGTGGCACAGTGGTTAAGCACTCAGCTGCTAACCTAAAGGTCAATAGTTTGAAACCCCCCAGCCGCTCTGCAGCAGAAAGACATGGGAGTCTGCTTCTGTAAAGAGGACAGCCTAGGAAACCCTGTGGAGCAGTTCTGCTCAGTCCTGTAAGGTCACTATGAGTCAGAATCAACTCGATGGCAATGGGTTTGGTTTTGATTTTACATTCCTTAAGACTGCTCCCTCCTATCCATTTCCTGTTTCACTTTTGCAACAGCCATTTAATTCACTCTGAGAGATCTTTTCTAAATCCTAGAACGTATAGGTTTTCTATACTTTTGCCTAAAAGTCTTCAATGATTCTCAATGGCCTGCAAGTTTAAAAACATGATGAAAGTACCAACTCATCCTGGCTTTGAAGCCCTTCATTATTGCACCTCTGCCTCTCTGTCCAGCCTCGCTTCTCCGTCATTCTGTGATCTTCATGATATCATGGTTGTATCTGACTCAAGTCTGTATGTCAGCACCCAGCACAAACCTAATGTAGAATGGGTCCCCAGGGTGTGCTAATTTTGAAGAAAAGGCCAGTCAGGGCTAGTTCCCAGGATTCCTGACTCCCAGCCCTCTATTCCTTGTTGCTCTGATGCCCTCCCATGAAGGAGGCCCTCTTTATATACAGGACTACTCTCCAAAGGAACTGACTCAAAACCGTGTTTTCCGTCACTCCAGCTGGCTCGTCTAACATGGTGGACACGCCATCACCCCTTTTCTGAGCTGGAGAAGGAGGCCCATGAGTGCACACCAGAGAGATCACAGAGCTCATCCAAGGAGGGTCCTGTAGAAGATGGAGCACTGAAGAACCCCAGCCAGGACCAGGAGCAGCCCGGAGGTAGAGTGAGGGCATGGTGGGAGCCAGTGAGCATCACCAGGGAGCCATGGGAACAGACGACATATCATGGAGCCCCTTTCCCACATAGCTACTGAACTGGTTGAGAAATGAGACAAATGAGTAAGGCAGATGAGATTCAATGTATTGCCTTCACTAATTATAAAGTGTAGGTGAAAAGATTTGTTTTCTATCCATGGGGAGATGTACTTCTTAACATGGAACCCCAGCATTAGACAGAGGTACCATCCAGGCACCAGCAGACCTGAACAAGGACAGGGTTTTGCCCCCCTGTGAGCATTGCACTGCCAAGAAAAAGGAGGGAGGAGCTGAGCCAATCATGGCCCATTTACCTTTCTCAAATCTGCCAGCAGGGAAGTCCCTTTACCTCCCCTGGGATGAACTAGGATACAAGCAGGAAAGAACAAAGGGTGATACACTAGCTGATTTTTTTTTCCACATGGAAGGAACAGCAGGCCTGACCAAAAACAGCCCCCCATTGCCAGTGCCTCCACTTTTCTTTACTTATTTTTAAGAAACGCTAGTGGCACTGTGGTAAAGCATTGGACTGCTAACCAAAAGGTCAGTTGTTCAAACCCACCAGCCTCTCTGCAGGAGAAAGATGAGGCTATCTGCTTCCTAAAGATTTACAACCTTGGAAACCTATAGGGCAGTTCTACTCTGTCCTGTAAGGTCACTATGAGTTGGAATTGGCTAGATGGCAGTGGGTATTTATTTATTTACTTTATTTACTATAGGGTTTAATAATTCTGGTGGTGTAGTGCCTAAAGCATTTGACTGCCAACCAGAAGGCGGGTGGTTCAAACCCACCAGCCATTCCTCAGAAGGAAGATTGGGCAATCTACTTCTGTAGTGATACCTCCTCAGAAACCCAAGGAGGGGTCGCTATGAGTCAGATCTGACTCGACGGCAGTGAGTTTGCTTTTGTTTTCTTTATAGTCACATAGAGGTATGACTATCTGTCAAGGGACATACAACTCTATCTTCATGAGGCTCCTGCAAAACCACCACCACTCCTATGGTGATCCTCCCTGAGCTGCTGATGGCACATACAGAGGTCGCCTACTGGAGGCTCTTAAATGGGTCAGAATAGTCCGTTCACTGAATTTACTCCAAGGCCACTCAGTTGTTGTTAGGTGCTATCAAGTCAGTTCCGACTCATAGCAAACCTTTGTGCAGCAGAACAAAACACTGCCCAGTCCTGCACCATCCTCATGATCTCTACTATGTTTGAGCACATTGTTGCAGCCATTGTGACAATCCATCTCCTTGAAGGTCTTCTTTTTTCCGTTGACTAAGGTTAAAAAAAGTTATCATAAACATAACTGTTTTAGACATAATGCAGCTATAACCTTCCTGCAGTGAGATTAAATAACATTAAGCTATGCTAATGGTATATAATAATATTACAGAAATTTCCCAAATTATGAAATTAAAGTAAAAAAAAATTAGTTTGTAGGTTAAAGCCTAAAATCGATTTATTTTGCCCTTGTGAGTTAAAATATCAATGACCTTTAAATCCTAAATATATTTTCTGCCTCAGTGAGAAAGAGTGTCAGTGCCTAGATGGAATTGGGGTTTCTTTGACAGTTGATATCTCCCCTTGGATCAGGCATAGTTCCCTCAGGGCTTCAGAAAGTGTCTTTGCTCTATACCCAGACTCTAGTGAGCCAAACATTTAATAATCCCAGCAAGTTAAAAGATTATCAAAGCAGGTGCCCTGTGCCAACTGAATTATAAAATAATCAAACCCTAGCCCCTATAGGAGTTGTCCCAGACAAAATTATATTCCCTAAACCTAGTATCGAATGTTGTCCTTGACTCTAGCAGAAACCCAATGATAGCTGAGGGAAGGAAAATTTGGAGAAAGTTGTCATGGTTTCAGCTCACTGGGATGCCAGTTAGTTTCTGCCCAATACCAGAATCTATGACCTGGGATTTAAACTCAGTGGGACACATCTGTAAGCAATGGGTTAATTTTGGCATGATGCATTCACCATATCTACTTCTACATGTCACCTCCTTAGATAGTGACAATTGAGACATTGCTGCTTTATGGAAAGATTTAGAGAAAGCCCCAGCCATTGGCCTCATCTAAAGTGTCTTTCTTGTCTACACTGATGGCATTTTAATTTATATTCCCCTTAACTCTATGTGTCTGACATCCATCAATGAACTGTGAGCTCAATGTAGTGTCGTAACGCCTACCTTCTTTAGTGATCAGGCATTTCCACTCTCTTGGCCCAGTAACTGCATCTACTGCATCTTACTCTGGAATTAAGTCTAAGAAACCCACTTCATAAAGCAGTGTGAAATTAACCAATTCAGAGCCAACTTGAGTCCCAGGATAGAGGTGGGATGCAGTTCTAAGCTGTGGACTGGCTACCGGAACTCAAGTCTAGCTTTCCCACTGTTCCTTCCTTGGCCTTGATTGAAGGTGGAATTTGGGGCAGCTGCTCTAATCTTCCTAGCTAGGCTGAAACTAGCCATAGAAAATTGAAAGCCAGAAATGTTGCAGGAGTGCTCTGTGCCACATGTGGGTCTTACCAGGTTTGCATTTTAAAGGCTATATATATATTCTTAGGAGGGCTGTGAAAAGAATCCCTCTTTGGTTAAAGGAAAATTTTCTTCAGCTTCTGTGGCTTTTTCTGACCATTTGCTAGACATAGGTCAAAGTCAAGTTGTCATCAGCACACTGAGGTTCCTGGGCCAGCATAGGTCCATGCCTTTGCTGAAAACAGTTTGCTTGCTAGACCCACATATTGGCAGAGCCAGACCACTGTTTCCAAAGTTCTAGGGGTCCTACACCTTCCCTGAGGTCTGAGAAGCCTGTACCTTTCTCGAGGCCTTTCACCTTTGCTTAAGACTCTGAGTCTAGTGAAATAGCCATTTGCCTAGAGTTAATGACATCATAAGCTCCAGAGTCTTAGCAAGTCAATATACCATATGGTCTAAGGCTCAAAGCTTCTTCCCAAGCTGCCACTGTTAAAAGCCAATGGTCCTCTGTAAAAAGCTATATATATAAGTGTGGAATGTAATACTTTACAAGCTTTCCAGGTCAAAACCCACATAAGCTCACTTAAGAAAGCACCACAAAGTTCAACATCATCCTCCCTGGCCTCATCAGGTACCCCAATTAGTTCAGGTGTATTCTGCTTTGCAAGATGTTGTTCTTGTCTCTTTCTCTATGTAGTCTATGCACCAGATGCTGGGGTCTCAAAACTGCTTCTCTGCCCTTATCACAAGGACAGGTTCCCGATCGCTATAAAATGTGTGGCATGGAAGAAAGCAATTTGAGAACACAAGCTCTTTGTAGGTGAGGCAGCTATTAAGACAAGATGGGAAGAGAAAAGGCAAATGCCTAAGAAGGTAACTCACAAGGGGAAAGAAGGAGCTAGCTGTTCTTCCCCCAAATGAACCCAAGAATTAAGACAGACTTACCCCTCCTTAGCTTGCTCTCCACTGCAAGGGGCAGAGCCTGCTCCTGAAGAAGTAGAGAGGAATCCTTGCTCCATCTCTATATACAGCTTGCTCCCAAAAGGGACAAAGGAGCCAGCTGAGAACCAAGAAGTCCCAGTTGAGAGAAGATAGCCCCAGTTGTGGACTAAAATATTGTTGAAATCCTAATCCCTGTGCCTGTAAATATGACCCTGTCTGGAAATAGAGATTTTCTTTTCCTATGTTAATGAGTTCATGTTAATGAGAGTAGGGTGGGTCCTAAACCTAATCACTTCTGGAAGTGTCTTTAAAAAGAGCAGAATAGACACAGGGACACAGGGGAACCATCTAAAAGCCTAGGAACATTAAGGATTGCAGTGGCTACTAGAAGCTGAAAGAGACAAAGCATGACATTCCCCCAGAGCCACCACCCTGAACTTGGAATTCTAGCTTCCTGAACTGTTAGAAAATAAATGTCCATTCTTTAAAGTCACCCAATGGTGGAATTTTTGTTAAGGTGGCTCTAGGTTACTAGACATCACCACCACTATCACCAGCCCCTCGAAGAAGGATTAAAGGTCAGAGATACGTCAATCCTGTCATATGCAAAAGCTACTTCCCAGGGAAGGGAAATACAGTAACAGGAAAGAAGCAACTACTTCTGTATTACTTTCTTAAGGAAGCTGGAACAAAGTACCACAAAGTGGATGGTTCCAAACAATAGAAATGTATTCTCTCACGGTTGTAGAGACCAGAAGTCTGAACTGAGGGCGTCAGCAGGGCCGTGCTCTCTGCCACAGCTCTAGGGGGAAATCTGCCTTGTCTCTTTCTGGTAGCTCCAGTTGTTCTTTGGCTGATGGTGGCATAGCTACAATCTCTGTCCATCTTCACCAGGAAGGTGTCTTCCCTCTCTGTCTCTGTGTCCCTTCACCTCATTTTATAAGAACACTAGTCATATTGGATAAGGCCTCTTTCTACTGCAGTGTGACCTCATGTTAACTAATTACATCTGCAAAGACCCTATTTCTAAATAAGGTCACATTCATAGGTAGCAAGCATTGGAACCAAACAGACCACAGATTAGGACATCAATCTCTCTTTTCGGGGGATGCAAGTCAATCCTTAACACCCTCTCAGAAGGCCCGCAGGCAGACATTGTCCCATTTGTGTTGTCTTCAGGTGGAAAATAAAATAGGCATTTTATTTTCATACCCTAAAAACAGAAGTTTTACAAAGTTAAACAACAACAGAGTACATCCATAAGATGTATATACATCCCAGGTGTTAGCCAAATCATACCAGGTGGATTTATTGAGATATTCTCATCAGTAACTGTTTGAGTGCCTCAAGGTCTCTGGGCATCAGAGTTGACACATGAAGCCTGGTGCCTCATCTCAGAGAGTTGTCTAAAGAAGCAAAAGAGAGGATATTTGGACTTCTCCAATGATAAAGTCTAATACAAACATGATGCTGAATTCTTATCATAGTGCAGCTCTGAGGCTAATTACTTAGGTGACTTCAAGCAAGTCCCTTCCTGTCTCTGAGTCTTTTTTCTCCTCTTTATAACAAGAGAGTCAGACTCAGTGATATCCAGGGTCTTTGCCTCTTTGTCACCTTGAAGTTGCATTGAACTTACCAAGCGCCAAGTTCTTAAACCATTAAGATAAAGTATGGCCAATGCATTATCTTCAATTTCAATGAAAGCTTCCTTATATTAACTTGATTTTTAATATACTATCTGTTAATTCAAGAAAGACATTTTTATAATATTTCCCTTATTACTTCTTTTAAATTTAGTTTTTAATTAGTGCACTGCCTTTGCACCTGCAAGTGAGGTCTTTCTCTGCAGCAGGGAGGATCCTGCGCCCGCACCGGCACAGCCTCCTTTGTCTGCACTGAGAACATGTAATTCACCAGAACCTCCTCCCACTGCTCCAGCATTGTAGTCCTCAAAGTGCTGTCAAATCTCCACTCTCATTTATGCTCACAACAACCCAGAGAAGAACAGGCATATGCCACTGACCCTTTTGAGAGAGAGGCACCTGCAGCTCAGAGAAGCTAAGGGGTTTGCATATGGCCTCAACAGTCAGCCGACAGCAGAGCCAGGCCCGAAATGTGGGTATTCTGGCTTTCAGCCCACAGTCCTTTGCATCAGTGAGTACAGCATTTTTTTTTTTTTTTTTTTTGGTTCAAATGTTTCCCCCTTCCTGGGTAGAAATGATGCTCTCTCTCTGTGTCCCCATTTGGGCCTGGAGTGCCTGAGTAATGCAAACCATTAATGTGCTTGGCTGCTAACCAAAAGGTTGGTTGTTCAAATCCACCAAGAGGCTCCATGGATGAAAATTCTGGTGATTTATTTCCAAAAACTCAGCCACTGAAAACCCTATGGAGCAAAGTGCTACTCTGAGACACATGAAGTCACCATGAGCCAGAATTGACTCCAGGGATTACTGGTTTCATCTTCACTGCTTAACACACCATTTGCCCTGAAACAATGATAAGCTTTTGCTCGATGGCTGGGTGCTGTGGCCAGGAGTAGAGCTCAGACCACAACTGTAATCAGAGTCAGTCTAGGGTCCTAACTCAGCATCCAGACAGTACGTAACAGAAAGGGCCTAGTCAGTTGTTTCCCTCTCCTCTTTCTGAATATCCCCTTCCCATTCCTTAGCTTTGGGTTCTTACCTTCTCTCCCTCTTCTACTCTCACCACATCCGTTTCTCCAAACCTTCCTTGCCTCCCTCCTGCTGCTCCCTTTTGCCCCTGGTTTTGTCTCTCCAGCCCCACACAGGTCCTGGGTGAAGCTGCTCTGGGGCTGGTTCTGTGGACTCTCTGGAGCCCCAGGGCAGGCTCTGAGCCAGAGAGAGAAGGCTGCACTGGAGCAGAAGCTGACCAGCATCCAGGAGGAGCCGTTTTGGAGGAGCATCTGCAACATCAATGCCATCCTTTTGCTGACTATCAATGTTTTCCTTTGGGGCTATTTTGCATGATGCCAAAACCTGGCTTAGCCTGGCTACAACAGAGACAGACTAAACACAGCCCAAGACCACCCAGCAAGAGAGACAAGACAGACTGTTTTCCCACCTTGCTTTTCAAACTGGAGACTACAGAGACTGATACTGCAAGAACCTCTGGAGAGCATCTAGTCCAACCTCTAGCCTTGACAAGTGGAGAAATGGAGGCTCAGAGAGAGCATGGGTTTGCTCAGAGTCACACAGCAGGGACTCATACTGAGTCTCCTGACTCCAGCACTTTCTGTCACATTGCCTTACACCCTACCCCAAAAACACTGTTTCCACCCTCTTGTTGAGTTTACTCAGTAGTTTTTATTATATGTGCTGTCTCGAGGTTAGAAAAGTAGAGGATACAAAAATAGAGTCTCAAGAAATTGCAAAAACCCAAGTATAATTTTGCTTACCCATATACTCTTCTCCGTTATCTCTTTTTCACTCCCTTACCACTCTCATTATCAGGCATTAATCAATCCATAGTAATCTATTTATAGCATGAATCTACCCAGGAAGGCCTTACACTTCCACTGTAGCTCCACAGTGATGGCTGTCAGGCCCAAAGGAGTGAAGGGCCCAGGGTGGAATTTAAGCATGGTGACAGATGGTATTTGGGGCAGGGACTCTCCTTGGCACTACTTAAATCCTGACTCTTCCTACTCACACACACAAACAGGAAAATAGTCTTCACAGCCTTGAGGAACTTAGAGTCCAGTTGGTCAGACATGATTTGTTGAGAACAAGGATCAAGACATGTACACAGACAACCGAAGAGCCACTGCATCTGGGCCTCTCCCCTCTCCCTTTGTCCTCCAAATATAGACCTACTCTGGAAAACAACCTGCTTAGGTGTCCCTCCTCCAAGAAGAGTGTCCTGACACCCAAGACTATTATTCACAATCCTATGCCTGTTCCTACAACTCCAGTGCCTGCTTTGATCACAGCACTGATCAGAATGCACCACCGTGTTTGTCTCCTCTTCTACATTGAGGACTCCACAGGGGCAAGGACCAAACACCATATCCTAAGTGACTTTGTACCCAGAAAAGAACAAGTGTTCAATAAGCATTGGTTGAATTAATAAATTCTTCAAGGTTCTAGCAGACGTTGTACTCTGTTTCGCTAGGTAGTGAATTGGGGAGTCAGCTGGAGGTGGGAAGAAGGAGCCTTGTTGAGCTGGAGCTTTAACCATTGAGTGTCAGGTATCTAGAAGAAGACTATAACCCCATCCCATTGCCAGTGACACAAAATGAGAACGTCTCTTCTTCCTGTCTTCCTGTCTAGGCTGCCCCTCAGTGTCATCAGATCCTCCTCCTTAATGCTGCCTTCAATCAGCATTTTACACTGATCACTAATTTAAACTAGATACAAATAAAATCGTAGTTCTTTAAGATTTGAATACATCTGATTTTATGAACACCTCCTGGTTGTTGCTACCTCCCAGTTTCTGCTTCCATTGGCCTTTTGACCTCACTGTGTTTCACCTTATGTGGCTTTTCTCTCCCTGCTGTTCTCCATCAACCCTTACTGGAAACTCCGTTCCCCCCTGCCCCCGATTTTTCCCAAAATGATTCACTCAAACAATATATGTACAATAGATTATACTTAAGATTTGGGGAAGGGAAGGAATTTTATTTTATTTTTAGTTACAGTAACTTTTATTTAATCTATCTAAACCATTATCATTACAACATACAATCACTATAAGATGATCAATGAATGAGTTTACATTTTTGAGTCTAAGTCTTTGTAATCTGGTTACTTCACACTTACACTAAATAGACTTTACACTTAAGTGTATTTAGACTAGTCACATTTCAAGGACTTAATATCCACATCTGACTAGTGGCTACCATAATGGACAGTGCAGTTCTAGACTTTTTTTAAAAATATATATTTATTGAAATATAATTTAGGTACAGTAAAATACACAAAACTGAAGTGACATGGGCTAATACATTTGAAGGGAAGGAATTTTAAACCACAGAAACACAATTGAAAAGTGAAAATTAAATATCCTATGTTTTAGGGTTCTTCAGTAGCCGGCTATGAGAATTTCTCACAGGCCTCTTCCTCAGCCTCCAACCTCCTGCCTCCTTCTATGGTTCAGAGTCCCCTCTTTCCTTCTCCTCCATTTTGGCCCTCCTGCTCAGTTTCTCTCCCGCCATTGTGCTGAGCATCCATCTCCTTCCTGGGTGCGAGACCTACCTTTTTGACCTAAAGATTTATGACTGTACTATTAAATCTAGTAGGATTGCCAGAAAGGGGGCCCACTCCCTTCCCTCCCTTCTTTGCCCAGTTAATTGCTACTTGTTCTTCACATCTCAGCACAAAGGTCACATCCTAAGGGAAGCCACATTGGCCCAGTCACCATTTCACCACCCCCATCAGCCTCCTTGAGGAGACCAAGACTCCATACCTCAATACATAGTGTCATGGTTCCCTGTTTGACACTACCTTCAAAGAATTTGTTACAGTGTACACTGATACATGTATTTGTATAGTTATTTCATTAATATTCATATCATCTCCTAGACTGTAGACTCCCACTGAATCAGCATCACTTAGAAAAATATCTGACACATGCTGGATGCCAATATATATATTAGCACGTATATATGTATATGTGTGTGTGTGAGTGTGTGTATAGGCGCTCTGGTGGCATAGTGCTTAAGGCATTTGACCTTTAACCAGAGGGCTGGAGGTTCAAACCCACCAGCTACTCCTCAGAAGGAAGACTGGGCAATCTACTTCTGTGGAGATACCGCCTCGGAAATATATGTGTGTGTGTGTGTGTGTGTGTGTGTTGTTGTTGTTGTTAGGTGCCATTGTCTCCGATTCATAGCGACCTCATGCATAGCAGAATGAAACACTGCCTGACCCCGCGCTAGCTCCATGATCCTTGCTATACTTGAGCTCATTGTCGCAGCCACCATGTCAATCCATCTTGTTGAAGGCCTTCCCCTCTTTTGTCAACCCTCCACATTACCAAGCATGACATCCTTTTCCAGGGAATGGTTCCTTCTGACAACATGACAAGCGAGTCTGGGCCATTCTCGCTTCCAAGGAGCATTTCGGCTGCACTTCCTCCAGGACAGATCTGTTAGTTCTTTTACAGTCCATGGTACTTTCAGCATTCTTCGCCAGCACCACAACTCAAAACCATCCACTCTTCTTTGGTCTTCTTTTTTCATTGTCCAGCTCTCACATGCATATGTTGTTGTTGTTGTTATTTGCCATTGAGTCGGCCCCGACTCATAGCGACCCCTCCTTGGGTTTCCAAGGCAGTATCACTACGGAAGTAGGATTGCCCAACCTTCCTTCCGAGGAGTGGCTGGTGGGTTTGAACCGCCAGCCTTCTGGTTAGCAAACCCACCAGCTACTCCTCGGAAGGAAGGTTGGGCAATCCTACTCCATATCACATGCATATGAGGTGATTGAAAATATCACGGCTTGTGTCAGGCACACCTTAGTACTCAAGGACACATCCTTGCTCCTCAGCATTTGAAAGAGTTCCTTTGCAGTCAACTTGCCGACTGCTATACATCATCTAATGTCCTGACTGCTTCTTCCATTGGCGTCGATTGTAGAACCAAGCAATGTGAATTCTTTGACAACCTCAAGCTTTTCTCCATTTATTGTGATGCTGCTTATTGGTCCAGTTGTGAGGATTTTTGTTTTCTTTATATTGAGATATAATCCATACTGCAGAGTGTGCTCTTCAACCTTCTTCAGTAAGTGCGTCAAATCATCCTCACTTTCAGCAAGCAAAGTTGTGTCATCAGCGTATTGCAGGTTGTTAATGATTCATATATATATGAATAAATGAAAAAATAAATGGATGAATGAGTGAAAAAACATCCTGAGCAGAGGAAGCCAAATATTCAAAACACAGAGGTGGAAAAAATCGTAACATAACCAGGGAACAAACAATAGTTTAAAATGTCTAGAGTGAAGGGTATATGTGGGCAGGGTGACTTCTAGTCCATAGGAGTTCTTTATACAAGTGATCAATATGTCTCCTCACTAGGTCTCATAGGTGGCAACTAGATCTCAGGTTGGATTTTAGTCCCAACATGACCCTTGGCCAGGTATATTTGTGCAGGGTACCACCTGCACATCCATTCATTGCTAACTTTGCAGCCACTTCATAAGGTTGTTCAAAGGAATAAATGAGTTAATTCACAACGTTATTTACAACAACATCTTGGCACAAAATGAGCACTTAATAAATATTAATTATTATTACAACTGAGGTCACTGGGTGGTGGAAACATTTTGCACTTGACTACTAACCTAAAGGTTGACGGTTTGAACCCACCCAGCGGCACAGCAGAAGAAAGGCCTGGAAGTCTGCTTCCATAAAGATTACACCCAAAAAGACCCTATGGGGCAGTTCCACTCTGTAACACATGGGTTCGCAATGAGTCAGAATTGACTTGAGGACAATGGGAATTATTAATATCACTAGTAGCAGGTGAGAAGGACACTGTCTTGGTTTCCTACTGCTGCTACATAAGAAATACCACAAACATGTGGTTTTGAAGAGCAGAAATTGGAGGTTAAAATTTCAAATCAGGGTTTTAGCAGTGCACATTCTGTCTGTGGGTTCTGAGTATCTGGCAATTGCTGGTGATGCTGGGTGTTCCTTTGCCTGTAGATGGTCTTCAGGTGGCATCTGTCCCTCCTCTGTGTGAGAAGCCAACTCTGCTCCTTCCATAAAACACCTCCCAGAAGGGATTAGGCTTTGGCCCCACTCTAATCTGGTGTGACCTCCGTAACAACAAAAACCCTACTTCCAAGCAGGGCCACACTCACAGGCACAGGGGGTAGGGCTTTAGTGCATATTTGAAGGTGGGGACCACCAGTCAATCCACAATAGACACACAAGAGGCATCACTGTGGGGCAATGTCATTCTAGAGCTGGCATAACCTAAAGTCAGAGCAGGGAGTGGTAGAGATTAATTCTTCCAGAGGAATCAGGAAAGGGTGTAACAGAAAAACCTGGGGGGAAATCCCTACTGCTGCCATAACATA